AATGGGCAAGCTTTCCTATACTATCCCTTTTGCCTGTGATAGACTTTCAGTAAAGGTGTCCACTGGCCCTCAAATTACACGCACTTTTACCTGCGCATAAAATAGGGTGAGCAAAGCTTTTAATGTGCTGTGCAGAGGCTGCTTTAAAGTTGCCATTCATAGAAGGTGAAACCACTATCACTATCACATGTGTACTTTTATGCACAAGGAATGTAGGCTAAGAAGTAAATGCCATAAGCTGTATCCACTTGCTACAGTAAGATGCATCCAGAACAGTTAATTAAACTTGCATCTGGAGTAATCCTCGCTATGAAACCTTTACAAACCTAAGGTCAGGTTAATTTGGATCCTTTCAGTGTGATCAAGTTACATTTCTCTTCCCAGAGAAGAGTGTGTGTGTGTGTCTCTGTGTCCAAAGGGCAAAGTGGAGACAAAAGCTGAAAGTTGCGCTGGGGGAACAAATATTTCTTTGGGCAGGCCTAAAATAGCTCTTTAGGTCCCAGCTTCTGTGCATTAAGCAACAGAAGGCACTGCCACAGGACATGGCAAGGCTTTCAGAAACGACTAGTGGTGTATTCATGGGTGGCTACTAGCTACAGCCTTTTGTGTGCTTCATGGCTTGCGTTGCTCGGGAACTTTTCCAGACCATCTGGTGGGGTGGTTGCTGGCAGAATGCCAGATGAGGTGGACGTGTGAACCAACTCAGTAAGTAAATTCCTCCGGTGTGCTGATTATGCAATCCAGTTTTGCTTTCCGCCCAGGAAGTGAAGCAATTGCTGATGTGCACTCCCACTGAACTAGCAACTTGAGGATATGTTCTCTCCTAAACAATCTGCCAGGCAATTGATGGGGTGCATGCTGGTGACGAAATCATGCAGGGACCTTGCTAATGGGGAAGCGGTATGTTCTGCTTTTTTGAAAAGAAAGGAAAGCTTAACATAAATATCCAATCAGAAAAACTTGAAATTGTTGCAGTGGGTTCAAATAATTAAGAAGTGCAAAACTGGGAGAAAAAACAAACAGCAATGAGTTTTGTTTAAAAGATTGATTTGTAAATACATAAGCAGCTAGACTTTCCTGATATTGGCTGGATCCCCAATTTCTGGAGAATATGGAGCCACCCCCCCATCCTATTATGCTGTTATATCAAAAAACAAAACCCAATTTCTCCCCCACCCCCTCGCCCCCACCCTGGCAAAGCCCTGAGGCCAGTCCTAATTGAGGTTGTAGTACAGAATAGTGAGCAATATTTGTCCGGCACTCTTCTTTTGAAACGTTAATGAACTTACCTCTTGGTTAATTGGCTCCCTGTGAATGTGAATTAATTCTTCTGGGGAATTTATTCCCACCCTTTCCCTTCAGGAAAGATCTCACTAAATTTCCTGAATCAGTGTCCTCCACAATTCCCTTACCAGTCCCAGGGGGCATGCTGGTTATGGCTTACATCTGAATTATTGACAAGTCCTTCTGGACAACACCAGGCTGGAGAACTCTCATTGCAGTGTGTCTCTGTTTGGTTTTACCCACCCTTGTTGGGCAATCTGAGTCAGAACATATCTTGATCAAAGCCTTTGAAGTGAACTACAGTTCTTCGAGGTCTCAGTCCAGCTCCTCTAAGAAACATAATTTAAAATAAGGGAGGGCACCCTGCAAGATGCATCTAGCCCCTCAGCACTCCCTAATTGCACTGCTGACATTGGGAGTAAAAAGGTCAGGTGTTAGGGGTGGAGATGTTGCTCCAAAAGTAAGAGCCCAACCAGGTAAGATAAAGCTTAATGTGCCTGATTTATTCCTTAATAAAACTCCCCCCTAAGTAAAAATTACAGGAACTCAGGTTAAATGTTAGTGCTTAGTGTTTACATGGCATCATTCTTCACTTCCATCTTGAGGACATATTACAAGATAGGGCAATATTGTTATCATTACTGTATGTGAATTTGTGGGTGGCTTCCTTAAGGTCCACTTAATAAGTTCATGCCAGAGGTGAGTTTTCAACTGGGCCTTTCTGGTACACTACTCAGGACCTCATCCTCTGTGATATGCTTGTTAAATATAGCCCCATCCTATACCTCATTCATAGATTTCAGTGGAACAATTTCTAAATGAACATGTGTAAAAATGTAGTCCTGGCCCTCTGAGCAGTAGCCTATCTGCTTGTTTTGGCCCAGAGGGCAGTTTGGCTCATTCTTCAGCAATCACCCCAGGTACTTTCCCCTTTTCTATCCAAAGGAGGATTGAAACATGCATTAATCTGATGTTTTTATACACATAGGTGGGGGGGAAGGGGCTTTTGGATGTTGGGTTCACTTGAGGGACAGCAGCAAAAAAGGTTAATGGTGGACTATATAGCTAGGTGGAGTTTAAAAACCCTATGTAGCTATATAGCTGGATATTGAGAAAGAGTGAGAGAATGAAAATAATTGAGTTATGGATTTGGAGTCATTTGCTAAGATTACCATGAATGGTAAGAAAGCCAAAATTGGTCCTGGATGAAATAGACTGATTGCTTCCTTGAGTTGTTATGCAGCAAGCAGAAAATCACATACTTTGCGTATGTGATTTGAGGGGATCATAGACTAGGAAAAACATCTATGCTTGTCACAAAGTTCAGGGAAGTAGAAGAAGAAGGCAGCGGATATAATGGATGAATGGGATCAAGGAGATAATTGGAATGTCCTTGGAAGAATTACAGATTGTCAACAGAGACAGGAGGGTGTTTGCCCATATAATCACCAGGGTTGGGCCTGACTTAATAGCATCTAACTAACTAGTCATGGATGTTGAAGTATTTCCATCTCAAGGAGGAGAGTATATCTTCAGCAACCTTCTCTAATTCAGTGCCCTCCAGATGGTTGGTGAGAATGGGAGTTCTAGTCTAATGTCTCCAGATGGTATTGGGTTGAGAAGGCTGTTCTTGTACCTAATGTTAAGAATGAGGAAATAATCAGTGATGTGTCCAGGCCAGAGATACAGTATATGGCTGATTTTTGTTGGGAACAGAATGTTCATGGAACTGCTGGTGTTCTGATTTTGAAGGCAGTTTTGGGCAGGATAACAATAAGCAAGGATCTTCAGACACCCTCCAGGCAGCACAGCTTGCCTCATGTGAAATACTGAAGCAGCACTTACATCTGAATGGGCTCTAGAGTTGATCAAATCTGTTTTGATTTTTGCAGCTTTCAATTTTTTAAACACATTATTTGCTGTTTAAAATATTTTAATGACTTAATATATAAACAAAAAATAATATAAGACAAAATAGAGAAACTTAAACAAAAGTAAACTAATAAGAGAAAAACCTGTTAGCATAACTGAAATATAAAATGAAAAGCTCAATTCTTAAACAACAAATTAAAACTCAATCACACATAGTACTATGGATGGACTGTCCTCAGGCTAGTTCATATGTAGAGAATGAACATATCCAGAGATTTATGTCAGGTATAATAGAATAAAACAATATTTAGTCGTAGCCCATGTACAGGAAAGCTAAAGTTCATCATACTTTGATTTTTCAAATGTGATTTAACATCACATTCACATCTTTAATCTTTGTTTTGTCAGTAACTTTATGAATATTAAACCAAAATAATGGCACAAGAGAACAAATCCAAAATGCGTGAGTTATGTCTCTTCCAAAATATTATACTGTATTTCCAATATACAGAAGTTCAAAACCCAATCTGTACAACATATTCTCTGGGGTATTTAATAATCCCCAAAAAGAATCTTTGGTTGTGTGAATCACATTTTAAGATTATAAGATAGGGTTGTTTTATTAAAACAAGATATTCCAAGTCTTTGTTCTAAATTATTTGCAGGTTTCCCATATCTATCTAAGTACTATTTTTCAGTTATACATAAAAATTAACTTGTTTGGGAATCTCCAACCCTTTTTTCAGCAATATTAATTGTTTAGAAGTTTGGGGCACTGCCAATGCATGTCCCAAATTGTAACATCAAAAGAAGATTTAATTGATTATATTGCTATTTTACAGCTTTAAGCTGTCCTTATTCAAGGTGTTAATATCATTTAAGCCAATTTTTTTACTATGATCTGTTGAATGAGAAATGGCCGAGTCAGTCTTGTAGATGAGAAAAGGAATAGTGGCTTGTTTAGCCAATTGATTGATTATGTGTCATCAAGTTGTTTTTGACTCTGAGCAACCACATAGAGAGATTTTCTCCATGATTAGCCAATTACTGGTTTGTTTTCACTCCGGTTTTAGCTGCTCTCGCTTGCATCTATCTGATTAGATAGAAGTTTGGGCAGAGCTCTAAAACAAACAGTAATAATCCAGCAAACTACAGACCGAATCCATAGATCTTGTTAAGCCTCAGTTGTAATAAATAAGCTAACAAACACTGGTGTCGGACTCTGGCTTACTTCCCTTAAATAATCCATGGGTTATCTATCGCTGGTACCATCAAGAATCACTCTAAGCCATTATGGCTGAATGCAGTGTGCTGTACCAACAAGAAGCAGCAGAGTATTCTGGCTCTCTTGCATATGTGTTTAAGTGCCACTTGTGTTCACAAAGTATGTTACATGTTTACATAAATGTATGCTTTAAAATGCTTTGAAATGAATTAAATGCATGCAGTGTCTCCTGGGAACAAGTTTATGAGTAACAACTCATGGAGTATCACTGCTACAGAGGAATATATTACACTGCTGGACAGAGTGACTGATTTATTGTCCCGGTTTTTGCATGTGAATGCGGGGCTGAAAATCATCAGATTAGCCATGTTGGTGGGGAGGAGAGTGATCAGTGGCTGCATCAAAAGATGCAGCAGGTCAGTTGCAGTCCTGTTCCACACCCCTATTGATTTGTTCATTCAGAAGAACATCTAATTGATCATTTGTTCAAAGGAAGAAATATCTCCTGATGATTCCTGACAATCTTTGAGTTGTTGTACTAAGACTGTGGGAGAACCAGCTTCAAACCTAGCGGTTGCCCAGATATTTGAGTATCATTCACTTTGTCTTTCTTTTCCAGGGCCAAACAAGCCTGGTGTCTCTCTCCCAGGACTTTCTAGCAGCAGAAGAACTGCCTGGAGCTTTTGGGAGGTCGCTGCAGTACAGACAGAAGTTAGTGCCAGCAGCCTTTCTCCTGAGGCAGTGGGGACCTCCTTCATCCTGCCCCTCTCCCGGCTGGAGAGGTGGGCGATGGCCGGCTCTGGACAGCTTGCACTCCTTCTGACAGTGTCTCTCCAATCCCTTTTGCAGCCTGCATTGGGTCAGGGTGGGTGAGCTACCTTTGCTGCCATAAAGGAAAGAAGAATGGGCTGGCTGGAGTTTGGGGAGGGAACCTGGCATCTCTTCTGGCTGGTGGTTGGTATAGCTGCCTGTCTGCTAAGTGATTGCCCCAAAGAGTGGATTGTGCCCAACAGTCAGAATGCCTTCTCTAAATTACTTTCCCCCAGAACAACAAAACTCTGTTTCTACAACAGTTTGGATGGTTAAAACTCCTGTTTATACTGCAGATTCTAGGAATTCTGTCTCCTGTTGGAGTATGGATGACTTCCATTGACTGGTTTTATTTTGTCAGGCATCCAGTAGGATATCTCAGACTGCTTAGTATTTAGCAACGATGGTTTGTGTTCAAAGAGGTCACAATCACATGTGTGCCTTGTTCGTGTAGTTTTAGATTGGAGAACTGCAGTCTAAGAAAGCCATTAACCTTAAGATTTCTGCTGAATGAAGTATGGTTAGATATTAAAGCCATGGATCATCTAAAAGGAGAATTTCCCTTCCCTTCATGGCTTCTTCTAAGCTCTTTGGCCCTTGGCTAGACCTTACCTACGAACTGCAAAGCAGTTGCAGGGTATGGCTCGAGCCAGGGAGTGAAATCTGGCTGACTCGTTGATCCTCTCCCATCACTGTGGGTGTGGATTCTCTGAAACTCAGAGGGAAAGACAGCTGAAACCTGGTGGCTCCACCTTGTACCTTCTCGTGACTGGAGCAGTGCTCAGGCCAAAACAGAAATGGAATGCCTGGGAGCAGAAACTGCCTAAACATTAGCCACACCTGTCCCAAGAGCAAGATGAAAGCATGTTAATGGAAGTTCCTTAAGAAAAATTAAAGCCAGCAAGTTAGACCTTAGTGCTCAAGGGAGTCCTTTCCTAAATGTTGCATTCTTGGGTGAGACTTGACAATCTTGTTAGTGTTCAGGCCGTTTTTAAAAAGAAATTTTCATGGAGGGAGTACATCATTTGAAAAGATTGTTGACCCCTATGTGAGAACAAAACAAACACACATTGGCAACTGAGTAGGCAGGATATGAACTCATTTAAACTCCTTGTGGAACTAGTATATTTATGTTTCTGCTTCCCTAATGCCCAAAACATGAACTTGGGTGTAAACAGGCCAGGCATTGCCCCAGTAGAGAGCCCCCAAGGCCTTAGTGATTGTCTAAGGATCTGGTGGTGAGTTTGAATGTTTAAAACAACCAGAACCCAATTGGCATTTGGGAATGAGTGAATGATTGAGATTATTCCTTGACAACTTTTTCTTTCTGTTACTACTACCTTGGATTTTCCATGGATATTTGTCTCACACACACACACAGAACTAGCATACCTTATTCTTTTTATTCGGTCACCAGAACAAAAAGAAACAATCCAGATGAGCAGGTTGGAATGGACGAACCACCTACTCACCACATTACAGAGATGCCTGTGTACATTATATTGTTACAAGGTCTAGTCGCTAGGTGGCGTTGGGCTTAGCTGTGTATGACTGGATTAAAAAAAATTCTTCCTATTACCTTGTCTTGGATAGATTTGATTTCCTGGGTGGTGTGTTTTTAGAAGTCAGCTTAGAGGAAAGTCATGAGTGAAGTGTCATTGAGTTATATTCTAAGTCTTATGGTGTTCAACATTTTTGTTAATAATTTAAATGATCCGTAGAGGGGAGCTTTATCAAACTGGAGATCTAAAGGCTGATTCAAGCTCCTGCATTTAGGTCCAAAATCAAAGGCAACCGAGTAAGATAGCAACAGTATATATGAAAAGTCTAGGTGCCATAATTGTTGACAAGCTGACCATGATCCAGCAATGTGATGGAGCCACTAATAGTCAAGGCTAACTTCCATTCAGCAGTGCTCTCTCTGCATCAGCAATACTGTGTCCCATTTGGGGTTAGATGGTATTTTAAGAGAAATAGCAACTGGAAAGTCCAGAGAAAGGCAGCCAGGATGGCGAGGGGCATAGACAGAGTCCCATGACAAAACAGTTAAGACGTTGGCTATATAGTATTTAGTCTTGAAAGGGGAAGATTGGAGTGATGTGATATCAACTGTCAAATATCTAGGGAAAAAAACCATCTAAAAGATGAAGCAGAATTCTTTTTTGTGCTTCAGAGAACAGAAATAATGTGGAGAGGCAAATTAGATGTGTGGACCCAAAATAGGAAGACTGTCCTAATAGCCACCAGTTTTGAAGAGGCTGCCTTATGATGTTGTGGTCGTATTTTTACTGGAGGGTCCTAAGGAGAGTTTAAATGGTCCCCTACCTGGAATGCTGTAGCTTTATAATGGAGATCCTGGGTGGAGGATGTGGTGGACATCATCATCTGTAAGGTTTCTTCCATGGTATTAGAGCCAGGTATGAGGCTCTTCCTATAATTCTAATTCTGTTTTATGTCTCTCCAAGGTACCTCCATTAACAGCAGCACAGTGGGACCTACATCAGTGCCACCCCCTCCTTCCAATGGCCTCTCGGTAGGTGTCTTGGAGTGTGAGCTGAGTTACTAGTAATTCCTGAGGGGAAGTTATAATGACACTGGAGCAATCCCCCTTCTTTCCAGTGAATGAGAAGAGGACATATAAAGCCATCTGATGTCTGTGTCTGCTATGGTACATTGGGTGACTTGAGGATTGACAATGTGTATATCACCACTAGATGGTGCCCATTGACTCACAAAGTGTTCAGTTTTTAAAAAGAGAGACAAATCTTGAAAGATGTTTGGATTCTCACATGAGTACTTATAAGAGTCTGATTGTTTTCAGTATATTACACCCAAACATGAGAATGCATCGGGAGTGGAGGGCTGGATTTGGGCTGCACTTTTGGTACTGGAAACAAGCAAAAACGAAAGACCTTGTACAAGGCCAGCATCTCTGCTTTCTATCTGTGTGTCCCTCCATCCTACCATATTCGATAAGGACTCTGAGCCTGAAAAGAAGCTGTGGCTGCTTAGTGAATCCAATAAGGAAGCAGTATTCTTTAATGTAACTCTTCAAGCAGCTGCATCTTTTTTCAACTTGTGCAGAAGGTTTAAAAATGACGTTTTTTTAATTAAATGAAGGTTTAATTTAAAAATTAAATGTTTCTGGTTTAGTGGATAGCAAAGGTGCTGGGCTTGTAAGAGATCCCAAATACCTCTTCTAAATCATTTTTGAAAGTGTGCATTGGCTTAGCGCATAAGCAAAGCTGTGGCTTTGGGTAGTGACATTTTCTACAGGTAGTCCTCGAGTTACAACCACTCGTTCAGCGACCATTCAAAATTACGACAGCGCTGGGTAAGTGGTACTTATGACCAGTCTGTGAAGTTGTGGCCATCACAGTGTCCCCACAGTCACGTGATCTCCATTTGCAACCTTCCCTGCCGGCTTCCCACAAACAAAGTCAATGGGGAAGCCAGCAGGGAAGGTCACAAGTTGCTTTCATAAGTTGCTCTCACCCTTTTTCTCCTAAGAAGCCCTACTACAGAGTTCCCCCACAGCACCCCACCTGCCCATGCTCCATAGCGAATGCGCCTGCACTCCCAATGCCTGCCTGCAGCCCTCACCATCCCACCCGCAGCCCCCGCACGCCCACCTGTGACACCCCCCAGCATCCACGCACCCCCCCCCCGCACACTCCTTACCTGGGACTCCCACCTCTTTCTGCTTAATGACCCAAGCAGTCCAAGGGGTTATGATCACAGCCAGGATTGCCATCGCTAAGTGATGCAGTCACATGACATTGTGCTTTACGACTGCATCACTTAGCAACAACAATCCTGGTCCCAATTGCCATCGTAACCCAAGGGCTACCTGTACAAATGTGTTACAACTGTTGATTTGTGCAGTACAGGCTCCAAAGTGTCCAAAGGGTAGATAGCAGCTTTTCCAGTGTTGGGCTCTACCCTGCTCTGTTTTTGTGTTGAACAGCAACTAACTCTGCTCTTGCTCCTCAACTCTTCCTCTGTGCAGAAGGCAGAACTGGAAGCTGCCATAGCTGTACCTTGTGTCTTCGGAGGCCTCCTGCTAATTGGCCTCTTGGTTTTCATGGGACTCAAAATTCGGGAGAAGCGCCAGACAGAAGGGACTTACCGGCCCAGCAATGAGGAGCAGGCAGGTACCCGTGTGGAACCTAACACCAACCTCAAGCTGCCCCCAGAAGAGCGACTTATCTGACAGAAGGAAAAAGGGCTCAGTTTTGGGGTCTCAGCTTGGAAAAGTGCACTGGACTAAAAAAGGACTGAGAATGGACCTGCCACTTTGAAGCTGGAGGGTTCCTTATATGGTCTGTAGCATTCCAAGCTGGCTGGCTGGCTATGAATAGCTGTCAATGGGAGAAATCCCAAATGCCAGAAAGAGGACCTGGAGGCACCCCTGGAGCTGTGATGGGTACAGATGCAAGATGGGATCCTGCTCTGCACCCAGGAAGGAAAGGCCCACCCTGACACTGTGGGAACTGACCATGCTAGTTGGTTCCCCTTTGTTTGCACTGTCCTCAAGGACAAGTCTTCTTCTTCTTTCTAGAATGGGACTCACTGGGATTGACTGTGCAGCCAGTATGAATGCTTGGTCTTTCTGAAGAGGGAAGGATGGTGGGTTGGAGATAGGAGAAGGGCAACTGGTCTTGGCCTGACTGGTGGGCTCTGGGATGGTCTTGCCTTTTAAGTGTGTTTTTTAAAACTGTATGTTGTCCTGTGTCTTTAAGAATGCCACTGTTTAATAAAAGTCAATCTCCCTTTTATGATGAGGAAAATGATGGTACCATTTGGTGGTCTTAATGCCATTGGTTGCTCAGTAGAAAGGTTATTCTGAAATGATTTAAATGCATAAGCAGAGGTCATCACCCACACCAAGTAATAAAATGAAGCAAATCTTAGAAGGTCTTATTCAATCTTATTGTTTGAGTAATCTAGAAATCTTGCTGTGCCTCACACATCTTAAGTGTGCTGCTTATTTATTTATTATTCAGTATACATCCTGTTATCCTTCTTCATCCTTCTTTAAAGCATCTCAAAGTTGCCATGCTTCTTGAGGCTCACTTTTGAGATTTTGGGTCATTCGATTTATATCCTACCTTTATTTTGTATAATTCAAGGCTGTGTATGTAACTCTCCTGCCTCCTGTTTTCCCCACAACCATCACCCTGGAAGTGGGTTGGGCTGAGAGCGAGTGACTGGCCCAAAATCACCCAGATGACTTCCTGCCTAAAGGAGGATTAGTTTTATCCCTTTTACTGTGCCTTGGACAGAATGCAGGTGGTGTTTTTTTTTTTAATGCAGGTATCTTAGTGGTGAATTATGTCTAGAACAAGGGCATAAAGAGACATCCAGGCTTCTGTAGTCATCTATCCAAGTTCAGGGGTGGAAAGCTGGTTCAGCATAAGAAACTTAAAAAGGAAGCCTTAGGCAGACACTAGCTGGCAGCACAGTATCGTACTGTATAGTTGTTCATTCTTAGGTCATTTAGCCCTTGTAACTTTCCAGACACAATAATAGAATTGTAGAGGTGGAAGGGAGCCCAACGCTCAACCCTCTGCAGTATGCAGACAACCCAGTTAAATCATCCATGAGATGTGGCTATCCAATCACTTCTTAAAAATCTCTAGAGATGGAGAACCCACAACCTCCATAGGTAGACTGTTTTACTGTTGCACAGATTTACCATCAGGAGGTTTTTCCTTATATTCCAGAGAGAGAGAAACAACTCTGGTGTTCTTCTAAAGACTGCTATGCATCCGTCTTATTACTGGGAAATGGAATGAAATTTTAAATATAATTGGCACCTGTCAATACTATATTTTTGTAGGGGTGTGTGTGCCTTTGTGTCAGTTTTTGACTCCTGGTGACTGCCTGGACTAGTCCCTGCAGTTTTCTTGGCAAGGTTTTTCAGAAGTGGTTTGCCATTGCCTCCTTCCCAAGGCTGAGAGAGGGTGACTGGCCTAAGGTCACCCAGCTGGCTTTGTGCTTAAGGTGGGATTAGAACTCGCAGTCTCCCAGTTTCTAGGCCGATGAAACTGGCTCTCATAATACTAATTACAGATAATGTATCACTGCTCAGTTTCTACTTTCAGCCTTTTTGTTCATTTAGGCCACTAAATTCAAGGCAGATCTCCCCTTGGCACCCCTGGCTTGAAAGGGTGTGCTGGAAGCTGCAGCTTGCTTATAGAGGTATCCATTCACAAAAATAGAGCTGGGCAATTTTGAAAAAACAGAAGCATTGGCCACACTTTCTGCTTCTGTGGATTCTGCATGAAATGTAGACCTCAAGGACATGATGAAGTTTTCAAAACCAAACTCCAGCTTTTGAAACACTTTAGCCCATCCTATTGCCTTAAGCTTTTCTGTGGAGTTCTTGGTGCACTATGGAGTGCAAGGACTGATGGTGTTACCTAATTGGGCAATGAAATGTCTACAACCCAACAACCAAGCTCAGAGAGCACCAAGAACTCCACAGAAGCGCTACAGATATTCTCTTCTATTGAGTTTTCTTTTCAATTTTAAGTTTAATCTTCTTAGAATAACACAGAGGCAGGCAACCTGTAGTGGCTGAGGTCAAACTTAAAGTTTTTTTGTTTTTTTAATGGTGATTGAAGCCGCAGAGTGGTGATGTGATGTTCTTACTCAGATTTTGGCTGGTTTTCATCTGATTGCCTTCTGAAAATGCTTACTTTATATAATGAATTTTATATAATGAATGTATATAATGAAAATGAAGATGTTACCTAGCCAGGTAATGAAACATTTGCAAGAAAAGAACCAAGCTCAGAGAACCCCAAGGACTCCACAATGATTACTTTACCCAGTTTTGGCAATGCAATAGTGGCAGTCTTTTGTGGGTATAAAAAGGGGGTTGGGAATGGCTCAAGCCCATAGACCATGAGTTGCTCACCCCTGGTGTAAAATGCTGATGCCTGAGAATCTAAAAAGACATTTACCCCCTGCTCATAAGATTGGATTCAGCTAATGAATAGTTTTGTAGAAGCCCTACTGCGCTGAAGGCAACGTAAGCTTATCGTCCCTCATCTCTTTGATAGGCAGACAACTTGATTACATGATTTTTCCAGGGGACATTTCTCAAGGGTAGGGCTCACCCCATAGTAGTGACAATAGTGTTGCTATTAGGAAAGTCCAATGGGAAGAGTTCCTTGGGATTGAACTAAAGCCAAGGAAACTGCAGTGGCCACTAAAGATTGCACAATAAAGACAGGATGCACCAACATACTCCCCTCGTCTTTCACACCACTGAATAAGTGGAAGAGCAGCACACTCCATCCCTTAGAACTTCTCTGAAATGTTTGACTTCTTTGGAAGACCTTTTGAAACCAAACCAAACTTTTAACAAATCGAATGAGAACTTGTAGGGACAAAAAGGGCAGAATTTCTCTTACTGCATTATGTCTCTTCCAAAACCTTTGGAAATGTTGCCAGTGACATAAAGTGAGTCCACAGATATACAGAATGGGATTTGGATACTCACCTGATCTCTCTCAAAACACTTCCTGCACTAAATTTCAGTTACTTATATCCTCGTTGCTCCTTTTGAGCCTTTTCACTTTAAACACTAAAAAGTACCTTTGGATCTATCCTGGTACTCCATAAATATTCTTGAGATGCAAATTCACTGTAGTATAAAACTTGAATAAATGGTATTCGCCTTGCAGGTTAAACTGCACAAATGCAAATTTAGAAATGTTGCATTGCCATCTGGTGACTAGTTGGATATACTCTCATTGCAATCAGACTTTTGCTGAAATGATCAGGGTTGCTTCCCATAGTTTTAGGTGCACACTTGATAACAGCATAAGTGTAACCAATGTGGGTGGGAGTCAAAATGTATGTAGTGTGCAAAGTAGATCTCAGTCTTGGAGACCTGAGAAAGTTCAGTATACTGGGAACAGATGCAGGTAAACATACAAGAGTGGCGTCCAATCCATGATTGAGAGGAAGGGGAAGACAAACACACAAGACATTTACTTTTCTTAAGTATTTGGATATTTCCACTCTGTGTACTTGGATGCCACTGCTCCAATTGTTTTTTCACCTCCAAATTTGACCATTACTAAAAGATACCACTCAAGCACTGAAACAGGAACCATTTCTGGTGCCATGTGGATATCGTGATAGCTCAGGCCCACTTTCATCCATGCTGCAATAAGCCAACTTTGTCTTGATGCATCAGAATGGAAACGTTTCTTAGCTAGAGATGGAAGGGCTGGCATTCACAGCAGATGTACAGCTCCAACTTTCCTTGTTGTAAACTTGCCATGATTTGCCTTTGCTCCCCCTTTTTTCTATTAAACTGACGATTTTTGCTTTCTTGAATCCTTTGCCTTTGAGCATATGGGGGAGATAGAAATGTAAGCCAAAGTACATTCACTACCCTTCCCAGCTGTCTCCTCTCATCACCAGGTGCTTTGATCTGATGTCCCTTCAGTTGCTCCCTGTTTCCTGACACAGATGCAAGAGTTCAAGGAAGAGAAGCTGTCAGAGGCTCTCCTCTGCAGGATTCCCAGAATATGCTAAGGCTGCAAAGTATAGAGGCCTTTCCCTTTAAGAAGTGGCGGGAAAGCAAATGCAAGTTGTGCTGGAGCTCTGAAAGGAGGATCGTTTTACTCAGGATTGAACAACTTTAATGTACATGTGTATATTTGTGTGTGCACAACGAAGGCTGCAGCGCGGTAAGTAATTTCATGTATTTCCTATCTTAAAATAGCAAGAAGCAATGTTGCCTGTAGCCAGAAGCACTTGGGGAGGCTACCAAAAAAGGGCTCTATTTTAACAGAATGGCCAGTGTCCAATTGTGGGAGTCCAACACAACCTAGAAGCTAGGTTGAGGAAGTCTTCTTTAAAGTCACCCACTAGAATTTTTATTTCCTTCAGGAATAACTTCACCCTTTTATGACCACTTAGCTCTGTTCAGACTTAAGGGTTCTTATACTACCTGGCCACTGCTTGCTGAACTAGCAGCTGTTTCTGGCTGCTCTTCTGCAATTATTTTTATGACAACTAGGCCTAAAAAGGGCTTATCACATTTCTTCATTACTGCTCTGATGGATCCCTGACTGAATCTGGCACCAGCATGGTTCTGCAAGTCGTTCAGCACCCTAGCTTTATCAACATCAAAGGCATAGTTCACAGCCTACAGGAAGACCAGCAGATGAGGGATCTCTCCCTCTCTCTTTCACACACAGCCATCATCACATCTTACAATACTGCTTGTTTTTATTTATGAGCATTGATCTTCAGTGGCTCATTCACACATGCAAACCGCGCCACAACAACAGCAGCTCATTTTCATGTTACCTGCTTTTCCCGATACATTGCTTGAGAAAGGTTGACATAGGAAGCTGTCTTCCACACTTAGCAGAGAAAAGGAGTTCTGTCCAGATCAACAAATTCACTTATTTAAATGCAGGTTCTGTCCCGTAGGAGTGAAGCCCTGCCAGTTGACTGGACATGAACTAAGTGCTCCTTTTCCCTTGTGCTATTAATAGGCCCTCCTTCTGCTTCTAGCAATATTTTTGATGTGCCTGGACAGATGAAGCTCTTCTACCACTGCTGCTCCCACGTGAAAGGCCTCCAGGTTCAGGGGCTAATTGTGACTCAAACACAGAAGGTTCTTTTCTCTTAAACGTACAGCCAATTTGTTTGCAGGATGCTCTTTCAGGCCTCAAATCTTTTCTTCAGTTCCAGCACCCTAGGCTGCATCAAGGGCCTAGAAACTAACTGGGGCTGTAAGCTGGTGACCCTGCCTAGAACATTCTTCTTTGCCACAGAGTCACTGACTTTTGTTTGTAACAAGCCTGAAGATGATTGGTTGGTGGAACTACTAGCAACCAATGACTCTGCCTCTGGGTTCTCGTTGGTTGGGGGTTCAAGGGTCTGGTCAGTCCTACATTCCTGTCCCAACTTGGTAGCAGTGCAGCCCTCTAGTATAACTGAACTAGGAATGGCAGCTTCAAGATCTGCCTTCTGGGTCAATGCCACTTCTGATGGCTCATTGCTAGCCTCCTGCAAGGAAAGAGTTGGGGTGTCAGGATCAGGACTATCTTGCTGCTCAGGGGGGCTGTGGTCCCACACCTCATTACTTGTGCTTGCAGCTCTGGCAGACAACAGCAAAGTGTTTGACATGTTCTCTTCATCTGGGTAGCCCAGGAACACTCTATCCTCAGACAGAGAGTCATCACCATCATCCTGTTCTTCAGACAGGACTTCGTAGAGGGCCTCTCCACTGGGCCTCAGCTGCAACAGGTCAGGAGGGGACAGGATTAATATTCACATCTTTCCCGTGGCAGCTCCATTATTGCAGCTGCACATCTTTACAGGTACCCACAATCTGAGCTGGGAGGGCTTACCTTAGCATAGAAGTTCTCCTCTTCAAGGTTACAGAAATCCAAGCTGCGGGTCCCATAGAGAGGCTGTTGAGCTTGGCTTGGCTCCAGCAGGTTTAGCGTCTCAAAAATTTCACCTAAGAGGTCAAACTTCTCTGCATTCAGGTAATTTTCACCTCTCTCAGGTTCCAGAGAGGAGTCCAGGGAAGGTGGTGTGAAGGGGGTAGAAACATCCCTGGAAAACAAACATTTGAAGGAGTGTGACATTGTATAGGTGAGGTAGTTATAATACAGGAGAAACAATCTTATTAGCAACTGGATTTAAGTAAATAGTAGCATTCGCTAAAATGCATGTGTTTTGCTTCTTCCTCTCTGCCCTACTTGTGGTTTTGCTCATCAAGGGCTGTATGACTGTTGTCACAAAAAGTGCAAGGAAACTAATTAAAAAAGCAGACGAATATGTGTTTTGAAGCTGAGAGTCAAAGGCAATACTTAGGGGGCTACTGCATAAGGTCATCTCAGGCTGAGTTTGTACACCACCACCAGAGGCATCCACAGGGTGGTCAAGGGGGGAGGATGCAAATAAAAAAGCAGCTTCTTGTCTCTGCCTCTTTTGTATGCATGGTGTGACAGTGCATGCACATATGAAAAGGGCAGAGCTCATTAAACCACAGGGCAATGCCACTTTCTTCATTCTGCAAAAGTCTCCAGTCCTGCAGATGCCTCTGAACACCATCACTGTGTATTAAAAAGCTCCCTGAATGGCAAGCCTTGCTATATTTGTTCTGGACACAGGCCACGTGCAGAGCTTCTACAGACCTTCTTCCATATTCTTTTGGAAACTGCCCACAAAGTTGTTTATGGAATAAAACCTCTAAAGGTGTATGTTTGGTTTTGTTCAAGGAGGGTGGGGTTCCTGCATTTGTCCAGAAGAGGAATTCATGACAAGTGGTACTCATCTAAATTCCACACTGCCATATTTTTGATGAATTTAAATTAAGCTATTTAGCTGGAATACAATAGCAGGAATAATAGTGTAGGCCTGACTATCTTACTACAGAAAGTAATTATCCTGTTAATTTACCACTAGTTAAAAGTTAGTGACTTCTATACCAATTGCCTCAGGAAGTAGCTGATGCAGGCCTGTTACTATTTTTTTTACAGCTGGATTTTTGACCCCATTATATAAGCTAGGATGTTTCAAGTACCCAACTGTTGCTCTTCAGCTACAAGCATTGCAGTTAACACTTCCAGAGTCCCTCAGTCTGAGTGTCTACATCCATGTGTGTTTCTGTCCATCCCATATTGCTGCCTATGTCAAAAATCGCATTTCCTAGAAAATATGCTAAAGTGATCTAGGCTTTGGAAATTACAAAGTCAATTTTCTGCAATCTGGAGAGAGATAAAGAAACCCATGGAAGACAACACAGGGCAAACAACACAGTAGATGACTGATGAATTTGGAGTTATTTGAGGGACTGCCTCTCCTCGATTTCATCTGCCTGTCCTACCAGATCCAGCAGAGAAGGCATGTTACGGGTTCCGTTGCTGAGGGAGCTACATCTGGCGGGGCCTAGGCAGCAGGCCTTTTCTGCTGCGGCGCCCACACTGTGGAATCTTCTCCCCCGTGAGGTGAGTTTGGCCTCGTCACTATTGAGCTGCTGGAGATCCCTCAAGACCTGGTTATGCCAGCAGGCCTGGGGACCCCAGAGGATGGGTGAGCTAGTGAGGTGGCTCCATTATTTTTAACATCCCTTCCTCCATTTTTTTTTTATTTTAGTTTGTTTTTATATATTTTAATGTATTTATTGTTTTTAGCTTTTTTGTATACCACGCAGAGTTGCTTGCTGGTGAGATGGGCAGCTATATAAATTGCATAAACAAAGAAACAGACAAACCCTGAAAAATAGAGAATTAAGTTTTCCAGAGCAAATACTCAATGTGAAGACAACTCTAGCATTTTGTTTTCTTTTCATCCCTGAGCATTTTCAAAAGGACATATAGGTAAATCTCCTAATTTTTAAAAGCCTTTTAGGGAATTTTAAAATCTCAACATAATTCTGAATCATGACAACTCTGTTAGTATTTCTGTCTTGTTTCCCAAAAGGGAAATTTTAACAAGACTTATACCTAGAGCTGATGTATACAGAGTTGAAGTGTAACAGTTTGAACACAGTTTTCTTAACATAGCTCTTTCCCCTTTTATTTCAGTGTGGTTTGTGTAGAAGTATTTCCCTGATACCTCAGGCATCAAAGGCTCTTGAGGCAGACTTGACACTCCTACAGAACCCAGCAGAGCAGTTGTGAGAGTAAGAAGAGCTAGTAGAATCCAGTTGTCCTCCATTTGCTTAGCTTATCCTACCTTTGAGTGTCCAGTTCTGTCCCACTGCTTGGTCTTTGTGGTCGCCTAGGGCGAGACTGAAAAGAAGAAAGAACCTGAGTCACCGTGGGACACTGGACTTGTAAGGGAATAGTCACCTTTCTCTTACCAATACTTTGATATTCTGTGGGACAGGCAATTCAATGGAACTTTCCCTTTGGGATTTAGAGCTGTATGTTCCTTATTTGAGCCATCATAGCAGGCTACCCCAAGCTGACTGCCCTGCAGATGTGGTCTGGGACTTCAGCACTCAAAAGTCTCAGCAATGGTCCTGCTGTCTGGGGATTCCTGGGGACAGGAACCAAAACACTGGGCAGATATCCAGCTAGGAGAAGGCTAGTTGGTCTAGTAAGAGGCAAGCAGCCTCTAGTTATATTCCTGGGATGGAGTGGGGGAAAAAGATTCGTTTAGAGATTTCCAATACCTCAAAAATGTAGCTGCATGACCTATCATCCTTTGATATTCTTTCAACATTCTTAATGGCCAAGAAAAGCAGTGGCATATAATTCCCTTTCTCCAGGGTTAGAAAATGAACATCTGTGAAGAAGGTTGCAACAGAAAGAAGGCTCCAACCCCTGCTCCTGTAGATTCTCCCATTTCTGTCCAAAGAGTCTCTTTGGGCATGATCTCCAAAACAAGCAATCACATATTCTGTGTTCTGCCTACATCCATAAAGACGGGAAGGAAGTCCCATCTGCAAATATTTTAAGTTATTTATCACCCTTTTACCATGAATTTAAAAGGAAGCATGGACCTGTCTGTTGTAAACATTAAGAGTCTGTCATAGAGAATGTCTAGCACTCTCAGCAGACTACAATTTGCCAAGATTATACAGGGAAAACCATTAGCACAGAATGAGATATTTTTATCTTGAAATTCTAACTGTATTTTCTATCCTGCGGCACTGTTACTTCCTGCTTTATGTAGAATATTTTGGGATTTTGGCATATTAGAACTTAGATGAACATTACCTATGTGAGTTCACTTCACATAACTGCTCTTCTGAATTTCCTGTGCAGCATGCAAAATCTATTTGTAGTTGGCTGCTATTAATATGCCAGCTATCTTCTTCCCTTCAGCCCCAGGGTACAAAAGGATAAAATTGCAGTTCTAAGCATAATTATGAGAAGATAAAGGCCAACAGAATGTTATAAAATATTACAAAGACCTATTTTGTAAGCCTTCTGTTGGCTATGATAAAAGTATTGTTTTTAAGCTCTAAGCAATATGATTGAGAATGGGCCATACAAAATATGACCTTAAGGTAACTTATAATTTGGATCCCTGTTCCAATTATTTACTCACATTCTACTCTTCACTACTGAATGAATACGAATAGTTTATTAATTGATTAGTGTTACAACCATATCAAAGAAAATAAAATATAGGTAAAATACAGGATCTAATTCCAGGGTAAAATAAATAAAAGAAAATTACCCTGGAATTAGATCCTATATTTTATCTATATTTTATTTTCTTTGATATGGTTGTAACACTAATCAATTAATAAACTATTTACTACTGATTATACAAATCACACACATTCAAAACCACCTGCCCATTTCTTCAAAAATATGCCCTTCTCTGTTTCTTTTGAGTTTTGATGCAAGTGGTCCCAGAATCTTGGGCAGTTGCTGCAGAGACCTACTACAGAGGACACCCAACCTTTGTACCGTGCAGTAGTGAGCACTAGACCTGTTCCTTTCCTCTTGTTCCTTTCCTTCTTCCAAAGCTGCTCTGATCTGGCTCCTTACTTTCTCTAAGCCGCTAACATTTCCATTCTCCCAATACCTTCCCGAAGTGCTGGGTGATGGGCAATCGCCTTTGTAGGTTCTCAGACTGTTTATTTCTGGTAGGCAGGATGGGACTGGAGATCTGACTGCAATTCAGGGAGTGTTCTTGCTCCCTGGACTGGTGTAGAGTGGAATCCTAGAGGAAAACAGCACAATATGGAGCATAAGCTCTGCTTCCATCCCTACTGTATCCCTCCTGGTGAGTCAAACAGGACAATAGCCACTCAGACAAAGTCTGAAATATGGTGGTTGGTGTGACCAAATGACTCACTAGATAAATGTTATAGGAGCAAGACAGTTTGCAATGAAAGGGACATAAAATGAAAGGAAGCTATGCGATGACGCAATGAATTGCATGCAGTTACTCATAATAGTTATGGTAATAAATATCCTGAAAAAAATGGCAAAATAGAACAAACTCTTGGTAAAGTACAAGACAAAGCCGCCTTCTGGTTGACCTTGATTCCTAGTGAGTTAAAGGACAACAGTATGGATGTGGTCTGCAATGCTTTTCTTCTGGTTTTTTTTCCCCTTTACTTTTCCTTTCCACACTGGGCTATAGTCCTGGTATTCCCTGGAAATCTCCCATCCAAATACTAATCAAGACAGATGCTGCTAAATTTTTAAACTTTTCCACAACAGCTATGTGCTGCCTTCTAGCTGGATGTTAGTATACTATCTACTTTTTAAAGTTCATTTATTCCTGTTCTTTCTTCCATCTTCTTGTGGGCTTTGCAACAGGGGTACTGTAACGTGCAGACATACTGCAGTCATACAGTAAAACACGTTGCTATCATACTGCCCCCCCGCCACTTTGTAACAACTTAATTTTTTCAAGGAAAAGTTTGGAATAGGAAAGGAAATTGTCTCTTACCTTTAGACGGCTCCGCATGTTTTTCAGCCTGATTTTGGCATGTCCTTTGGCCTGGAAGATGCAAAACAAAGTGATAGATAGAATTTAAGGATGTGCAGAGGGAGGAAGGCAGTGGCCATCCCAAGAACCAGCTCGGTTGGCGTTTTCCTCCCTTCATTCCCCTGTGGCCATTATTACCAACTGCTCTGTGAGAAGGATCTGAAAGGCATCTTCATTTGTTTGATTTTAAAGAATATTTGTTATGCTGTACTGTATTTTTATTTACAATTGTTCTGGAGTTGACTCAAAGGAGAGTTTACTTGAATTGCTTCTAAGCTACGCGTATCTATCTACAGTATTTATATATCTACCTATCCATCCCCACACACATATGTTCCCCACGTTTTCTTTCCTTTTTTCTTGCAGTTGTTTTTTATTGTGCTGTTTGATTTTTTTTTCTTTTCAATTCTGTTCTTTTCGTTTTGCAAACAATACATTTAAAAAATAAATAAATAAAAATATTCTTGTGCACTAAGTCATTTTGGAAGAAGCCTCAAATGTGAGATGATCGCAATGATGATGAAGATGATAAAAATTGCCTTACATATTGGTATGCATTCTTGACAGCTGGATTGGCTTTATTCTTCATAGTACTTATCAGGGCTCCTCCACTTTTCTAGGGAGAAGAGATCAGACACAGTTATTAAGAGCAAGGCACTCAAATCACATTCATTCACAGCTATTGAAGACGTTCAAGGAGCACCCTGGCTGTCTGAATGAATGGAAGAGCAAAGGGAGCATCTTACCAAGAGAAGTTCTGCAACAAATCCAAGTGGACAAGGAAGCTCATCCAGGAACACGGTGCTGAATTTCTAACGCTTTCTAATCTGAATTTCTAACATGCAACAGATCCCTTAAGCACCAAATTTACAGCAACTTCCTTGTAAAGTAGATCAGAATTATTGGAATTACCCTCATTATTGGAAATGTATGTAGGGTGTCTTTGTGGTATGGCCAAACGATTTGGTGCCTGAAGAGTGGGTCTGTGACAAAATTCATATTGAGGACATCCTGATCTCATAGCATCTCTCTTTAGCCAGTACCTTAACACAACTAACACTGGGGATCTATGTGCAGTATTGGGGGAAAATTCAGGGAGCAACATCTTTAGCCTAACCTGCCTGGAAGATTATTAAAATTCTGATTGCTACGTGGCACGGTCCTGCCTCCTAAACGGCAACCCGATATTCTCCCAAACAAAACGAATTGAAATATAACCTCAAAAATAGTCGAACACTGTGGATGGCACTGGGTTGGAGAAGGCTCATTTTAAAGGTAGAAGACATCCAAATTTACCTAAAGGAGAACAACTAACTGGGAAGCTCTCCTGCATAGTCCTGGAATACACCAATATTCTGCAGGAGAGTTTTTCTCTAAATTGCACTTCACTGGGTAGATTTGGATGCCTTTCATGTCTAAAATGAGCCTTCTTCAACCTAATCCCATCCACATGTGTTGGAGTACTTTTCTCACGATCTACAGATGATGCCTTGAAAGGTGTCTATGTCCAGATTAACAATGGTCACTCATAGCAACTGGAGCTAGACTTAGGCACAAGAGACATGAATTCAAGTTGCATTCTGCATCATACAAGTGTTGGGAAAAATTCCTTTTTTAGATTCTCATCATCACATGCATAATTCTCTTGACAACAGCAATAATAATAAAAATAAGAAATAGGATTAGTTGACAAAAACACATGCTTCTTACACTGAATTAAGTAGAACCCACATGCAATTTTAAAAGCTCCAGTGTTTGTTCAGTGACAGAAAACTAACACATTGGGTTTTTTTTGTCTTGAATGCACAAGAATATCTGGCAAGGATGGAAGTAAGGCATTTTCTCAAATGCTGCTGGTCCCACTCACATACCTAGCTCTTTGGATTCAGGTTACTTCTGAGAAATGGATAGAAGGAATAAACACATTGGTCCAGGCCCATTTATCCGGCAAATGTTATAAACATTAACTCTTTTTCTCAGGATAAATTCCTGCAGCTCTTAAGTGGCTTGTCTTGAGAATTAAGGCATATGAAGAAACTGTGGTAGCAATCTACTTATGAGCATATTAGAGGGATGTTTTTCGAATAGGTTTTTCATTTAGGGTGACTGCATATGGGCTGCAAAAAACCAGACAACTACTAGATGGCAGCAAAGAGATCTTTACTGCCATCTAATAGTCATCTGGATTTTTGCCATCCAGATCTACTTTCACCGCAGGTCTATTGGAACAGCTTTGTGCTAACTCTCCAAAGAAGAACAAATTCATCTTAAGCAAACAAAAGTTGGGAACCGCAATAATTAGAAGACATAACTGCTACTAGAAGATAAGAGATGAAAATTTATTCCCTTACCTTGAGGCTCTCCACCCACAGCTGATAGGAGTGCATACTACCTAGGAAGGGAGAGGGGACAGGTGAATTCTCAACCTGGCTGCAAGCCCTTAGAGAAGATGGGCCTTGAACTGCATATTCAGAATAATGTATGTATCTGACCTACAGTGTCAGCTATCTTCCAATAGTTCTTGCTTTTTTTGATCTTTTTAAAGTTAAAAAGTAGCCCACAAAGAAAAGGATGTTAGGAAGAGCTTAAGCGTCTTTGCATATCCATTGTCCCTGATCAAGGAAACAAAACAAGATGGAGTCTACATTACCTGGGGACAAGCTGCTGTTGATCTCTTGCTCAAAGAGGTCAGAAAAATCCTCTTCTGCATTTAACTTCTCCAGACGCTCATTGATGAACTGGCAGCATTGGGAATGAATGTAAGTTTGGGGAGAAATAGAAAGAAGGACTTCATTAGAATAAACAGGAAAGAACCATCTTCCATTGAAGAGAAATATTTAAGGTATTCAGCCCTGGGATTAGTATGCAAAGAAGCACTTAATGTCTCATTCTGCTTTGAGACAACTGAGGAAGTCAGTGAGAATATGACAAAGAAGTCATATTAAGGAGACTTTGAATTCTAAAAAAGGATAAGATAAAAAAAAAAACTTTCCTTTTTTTATTTTATCTTTCAGTTCAGCCCTCTGTCCCAATACAGCAGAAATTTGAGTGGATTAAATATTCTGGCAAAGGACTTTACTGATTTACATAGAATTTGTAGGTAGTAGCTGACACGCCCTCTTTGCCTAGTATGCATACCTTTGCAAAGTATGCATTCCCTGTATGTTGTTTTATAACTGGAATGAAAGAGATCCTGTTTCATTTTTTCTAGTTCCAGCATTTCATGGATCTGAGCATGGAGTACCAGGCTGTAAGCCTAGGGCTGCATTCAAAATCTTTGCATGCTGTCTTGTGGGGCAGTTCATCAGATGCGTATTTGTCTCCCCAAAAGAGAGATGAAACAGCAATTAAAGCAATGCTATGATGGATTAGAACTGAGAAGGCCCAGCTGTAAGATTATATTCAGCATTAAGCTCTCTCAGTGCTTTGGGCCAGTCCCTCTCATTTTAGGCTTGACTTACCCCAGAGAATTATTGCAAAGTTTTTAAAAAAAGGGAGAGGATGAATAATCAAGAGCCTAAATATGGGATAGGATATAAATAAATGTATGAGAACAGTCCCTGCAGTTCAGAAATACCAATATTACAGAGCAATAATTATAGAATAGCATTTCTATAATAATATATTCTATAATAGCAAAAGGAAAGCTGGCAGGGGAGGGGGGGCAGGCTGAGGGAAAATAGCGGGTGAGGGCAATAGGCGATGAGTATGGACAAGCTTCATTGCGCTGTGATGACGGAGGGCTTAAGCATAGACGAGAGCAGCATAATAAAAAAGTAAATTGCTAAAATTCTTGATGGACCCAATGTGGGTCAATCTGTCATAAAGACATGCGCGTCAAGAGGGTGCACAGCAATATCTCTGGGCAATACCAAGAGGTGGCTATACGGGGTGTCTTAAGTAAGGAGAATGAAAGTCGGACAAGTGCTCTTTGCTTGATTGCTCAGAAGTCCGTATGTGGCTGAATCTCTTCTATATGTTCATGGGTGTTGGTTTGTGAAGGCTTTTGCTTTGTGGGCTAAACATGACTGCAGCCCGTTCCCCCCCCCCCCCCCCCCACCTTTGCTTGAAGAGCTGACTGGGAGTCCACCAGGCTGTACCTCCTTGAAGAGCTGCAGGTGCCTGGCCCGCTGGAGGAAGCCCTGCATCGCGCTGGGTCCCTGCCGTAGGAAGCTCTCCTGGCAAAAGGATATGTGCTTTTCCTGTTGAGGAAGAGGGACAGGGAAAGGAGAGGTGATAGCAAGTGGGTGGCCAGAGACTCAAAGGCTGGCATAAGGAGGCTGGAAAGAGAAAGTGGTGGGGAAATGAGGGCTGGGAAAAAAGAGGAACATCCCTGGCATATCCTTCTGGATGACAGTAATGAATGTAACAGTGGAAACCACAGAACATGTTTGCTTTGAGAATTTCATTACAGATCTATCCCAAGAGATGGCATTCGCTCATGATCCCAGGTCCTAAGCATTTTCTGTCCATCCAGCAGCCTCCAAGTGGGTGCTATATGTGAACTTAACTGAATGGTCTTTGCAACGGTGCTGCCATCTCTGGGTATGACCAGACACTGATTTACTTCACTGAAAACTCATCCCTGTTCCGGGATCAGTATCCTTACTTTTCAGTTTTAAAAACCTTTATAAAAAATAATAAAAGGGCTCTGTTGCATGAGACAAGGTTTCCTTTTTTCTTAATGATCCACTGGTAGGAATATCCCTCCTTTTAGTATTTCAGAGGATATGAAAAATGTGTGTGAGTGATGGCTAGGACAGACTAACCAAATGTATTGAGAATTTTTCTTCAGTAAAAAAAACCCTGCAAACCAATTTACCTGTGACAAAGCTTAACCTCTATTTAACATTTTAGGCCCTGTGAAGCCTCCATTCTGCCACCCCCCCTACTGAACTTGGAGGCTCAAGCAAAAAGCAGACAAGCAAACAAGCAAAGGTGGTTCCCAACTACCAAAAATGGCCGGCCCCAAATTTGTTTTTGTTTACATGTATATTTATTTTTGGTGTTTTTTTTTTAAGGATGATTCTTACTGATTGCATTTATACTGATTTATTTCATGTTGAAATCCACCCAGAAACTTGGGTGACAAGTTGGGGACAAATGAGGAAGGAAGGGAGGAAGGGCTTTTTTCTTTCTTATGTCTCTCCTTTCTTCCCCATCTCCAAAGTTTCTGTGGAGGAAAAGGGAGCTGTGTAGAACCTCCCCTTCCAGCTGGTGGGCTGAATGAACAGGAGAAACCACTCACCGGAGTGCAAACCAGCCCCTCACGATAGCTGCCAAAGAGAAGCGCCTGGGCCCTGAGGAAGGCTCGGGCAACTCCATCTCCGGTGGTGGCAGATTGCTTCTTAAGCTGGAACTTCAGTAAGGAGACCTGGAGATAGAGGGGAGGAGGAGAAGAATATATATTCATCTTAAATCCAGAGGCCTTTCCAGGTATTTGTACTAAGCCATGGGTTATTTTAGCCATAGTTTGGCATCTAAATCATAGTAGCCTGTTTCACAGGCAATGCTGAGCTAGAAAGAATGGTTTACCATCAAAAATGTGCTAAGATGTCATCATTAACAGTCATAAAATAGTGCCCAAGCTGTCACTACAGCAGTATCCTATCCCATGTGTCAAGGCCTGTTCCATGATATTTTTATGGTCCATGCCAATGAAATGTAGGATGAAGGTGTCAGACTGGAGTTTCATGGAGTTTGTTGGGTAACTTTGGATAAGTCATTATCTTTCAACCTAATATACCACACAGGACTGGTTGTAAAGATTGTTCTCTATGCCTTCCTAAATTCTTAGGGGAAAGAATTGGTATAAATGCAATAAAAAAATGAAACTTAGGATCTTAATGGAATTACCCGATTTGGACAAAACAGAACTCTGGGTGGCCACTAGATGGCAGCAAAGGAATACAGAAATATCTACCTCTTCCAGATTTTTGCAGCCCAGGTGTAATGCCCTAACTTGAATTCCAGCTGATAGTAAACCTCACCTACCACTGACACCAGGTCTGTTTTTGTAATTGTGGCTAGCCAGTTTTGCAACAATAGGAAAATATTTCAAAGGTTCCAGCTGGGAAGTGTCCCCTCTTCCAATTTTGCCAGTGTTGTTTTCAGAAAAGGAGGGGGCAAGAGAAAATATGTAGGGTTGCACATAATTGTTTAGTTAATTTAAAATGAAAATGTAACAGTTGAAATTAAAGTTCCCATAATTTAAACTGTTACATCAGGACAAACCAGTGTGCTGGGCAAGGAGGGAGAGAGAGAGCGCTCCTTGTGTAGAGAAAATAAAGGAAGGCTCTGGGTAGTCATAAGGATTCCAAAACCCCTGCATTTTTGAAAAAGGCTCAAGAAAGTAATACTAACAACATCACTTGGGAGATTTTCCAGGTCTTGGAAGGGCGATTCCATTGTGTTGCTATCAATGCTGAGAATGACGACATCTTCCAGGGCTTTGCTCCTCACGCTCTAGAGAGAGCCAAGGCAGAATTGAGAAACAAGGAGAATAGCTATTTCCTGAATCTTCTTACTTTTACTTTACTTTACTTTACTTTACTTTACTTTACTTTACTTTACTTTACTTTACTTTACTTTACTTTACTTTACTTTACACTTTACACTTTACACTTTACACTTTACACTTTACACTTTACACTTTACTGGCTCAGAAGCGTCAACTGCTATTAGAAAGATTTGGAAATGAAGAAGTGAATGAGGCCGGAGGTACAAATGCTCCAACCTGCTGCTAGAAAAACCTCCACGGAGCAATCCCACTTAGGCCAGTCTCAACCAGCCAACTCTCACAAGGCTGCCCTGACGATAAGCAAATCCAAGCAACACTGACTTCTGGGGATGTCAAAGAAACTACCCTCTGAAAAGGGCACCCCCGAACCCTTTGCAGCATCAGGGTACAGCTCGAGGCTAGTGCAATACTGTAGCAGCAAGATACTTAGAGGTGCCTGGAATAAAGGTGGAGGGCAGAAACAATGAAACAAAAGCACCTGATGTCCAGGTGAAGGAAAACTGGGGGAGAGCAAAGCCCTGTGGCTATATCACTTTGGGATTTTTTTGCTGTTTTGTTTCCCTGAACTGAGAAATGCTTTCCATACACGCCTGGCCAAAATTCATTCTGTTTAGATCAGGAGGAACAGCCTGGGAACGCAAGTGCATGGCATTTGCCCGGCTGTTCAGCGAGGAGCCTGATTGGACGGAATGAAGCCCAACGGAAATGGGGCGGCACCGGATACGTCAGGGGTAACCGGCTTGGCTCACCGGGTGATCAGAGACAGAGCTTGACGGGCACAGGAGCAAACTGAATTTATTTATTTGTATTTATTTATATTTCAAATTTAGATACTTGCCCATCTCACAAAAAAGTGAATTCCTATCAGGTCCTATTGGAAGAGCTGTGGCCCCTGGGTCATTCCCCTGGGATAGAAGTCCTCCTCTCACAGCAGAAACGGCACCTACGGCAGCCTTGGCTGATCTCAGAAAAGCCAAATGGGGTCAGACCAGGTTAAATACTTGGGTGGGAGACCACCAAGAGACATCAGAATGGCAGGCTAGACTGGGAAGTCAGCAAACTATCCTGGAAGGAAGCGATGGCAAATTAACTACAAGGAATCTATATGGATGTGTTCATTTGGTCACCAAGAGTCAAACTTGAGAGAGATGTTACTTTACTTTCTGAAAAGGCTAAACTACTGTAACATCAAAGGCAGACAATCTTACACCTACCATACTTAAGTGAAATCTGGAAATCTGCCATCTGCCACATATTCCAGAAGGTAAAAGGTTCCTGCATGAGAACTTCTTCAATGGCAAAGCATTTTAAAGAGGTTTATGAAAGGAAATCCACAATTTCCAAAGTATTAGATCGTGCCTCTTGTTAATCAGTGGAAGGGAGAAGATGCTATTTAAATCCTCTGCCTCAGGGCTCAGCCTCATTCTGGTTATATCCCATGGGTGGCAAAGTTTGCTGGGGCAAACTCTAACTGATCCCGCAGGAGAGTGAAGTATAGAGAAACACTGTATTTAACACCTTGCCTTCAAGTGGAACTGCAACTCATGTCAAATGAGTCCCTTGTGCAAAATGGGCGGCTATATAAATGATATAAAATAAATAGGTAACTTTTGTCCTAGCTGTTAATGCTGTGCCATTGTACGTTAGAACTGCTTTCCTCCACGCACCTATTCACAGAAGGCCATCCTTACAGTGATGTCCTCCTGTCCCTTCAACTTAGGGACTGGAACTCAGCTTCAGCTCTGTTAAACCCGCCCAGTTATCCTACAGACAAAATGTTTTTGCAATCTCACCTCCATAAGGCTTGTATGGACTCCAATGAGATAGGGCATAGGGGCACTGTGGATGAAAGAAATAAATGTTAGAGCTAGCACCAGCTATTTGTGGGCTCCTAGCAGGTTAGGCCCTCCTAGTTCCAGTTTTTCTCTTACAATACATTGTGATAGCTTTCCCCAAGATGAGTGTCCTCCAGATGTGTGGTTTCAAGTCCTAGTTTTCTTCCCTCTTTTAGAAGTGCTGTTTCCTTAGGAGGAAAACATCTTTGAGGGGGGCAGGATCTCACAGGGGGCAAAGAAAGGGCTGAATTCCCTTTTGGTGCAGATCTCTTTAGCACATGAAGTCTTTCCTTCACAAAGTCTTCCACTGAGATTTAAACAAAAAGTGACCAGCTGAGGACAGATGATTGTACCACAAAAGACAGGTTCCTCACATCTATTCCTCAGTCACCTCCTCACTGACTATGGTAAGCACAAGAACTGCAACCTATCTATATGAATTTTCTCCTTTGGGGAAAACAACATCAAAAACCATGTACAGGTTGGGGAATCACTGAAGCCTTTGGCATAGGCGGCCTACAGAAGCTGACATTCAGCTGAGTTACTCACCAACAGTAGTCGAGGAGGTGTGGGGGCAGTGCAGGAATAAAGATGTGCTGCCAGTACATAGGATACAACATGGAGGAGGAGGCCTGGATGCAGGCTGTCAGCTACGGGGAGATGAGAGACACACGTTTCATTAGAGGAGACTGACCCTGCTTGAAAGCTGTAAGAACCGTGGTACTTGGTTCCCAATGAAAGCAACTCTCATTGAAATCAATGCAGGTTCGAAGGAAAGTTCATTTATTGGAAAGTAGTGAACAGTCCTAGAGCATAGCTGGAACTGAGTCCTGCACATGCCAAAACTTAGTTTTACCTCACTCCCATTTCACCCCCCCCTTCTGTCTTTGAATCTCTCTTGCACATGTTGAAGATTCTCTCCAGTTCTCACGTTGATATGACCTTGGGCATTCCTGAGAGCCAGATAACAGTCCATCTGCGCCTAACGGTTCACCTCCCAACCTTCCCTCCCTTCCTCCCCTTCACTGCAATGGCAGAAATGAAGCAAGCAAGCTAGCAGTGCAAGTGATCGATTGCAAGGATCTGACAAAAGCTGAATAAAGGGGCAGGACTTTGCATAACCCTTCTTCCCAAAGTGACAAGGGAGTAGTACTCTCCCCACTGTACATGCAGAGGGTAGCAGCTTCCCTAAGGCCATCCAGTGAGTGAATGGCAGAGCTGAGATTTGAATCAGGGACCTCTTTGTCACTACACAGGCAGGGATTGTAAACGTGGGGGTGGAGGGAGCAGTTTGTGTCCGCTGCTTGCCCTCTCCACAGGATAATAGTCCTGTTTCCTGGCCGCCCTGCTTTTGGGATTAGGGAGAAAAAGGCCCTATGTGGATCTAAGGATACACTGATACTGAATGTGCAGCCCCTAAGAGGCACAACCAGCCAATATGACCCAATTATTTTTTTACACCTTCACTGAATACGTGGAGGAGGGCCAGGGAATGCCCTTAACCGGTAAGCCATATCACAAGATATCAGATCACAGGATCCGCCTTTGTGAGATCTTTGTGCCAGGCGAGGATGCTTTTCAGTGTGTAAGAGAAATGCACATTCCTTAGCAAGCTGAGTTGTCATTTCGAAGTCCCTCCCACCCAGGTCTAGCCAAGGCTAAGCTTTGAGCTCCGAGGTGTCTTTTCTCCACCCCCCGTGGTGGCCTCACCGTGCTGAGCTTGCTGCTGGTGAGCAGGATCCGCCGCTCATGGAGGAGGCTTGCGTAGAGGTGCAGCATGTTATTCACGTCCACCGCCACAACGAACTCGGTCAGATTTCTCTGGGGAGAGCCATACTTAGTTAGGCTTCTCTGGTCACAACCTCAGCCACCAAACCTGTCTCTACCCGCCATTTCCCTCTGTCTTCTGCTTCACCCTTGGCAACACAGTGGATCTTCCCTTCAACCACTTCTAGTCTGCCCTGCCTTTCTGCCACCTGTGTTACGGCTGGGTCCTATGCTGTTAATAGTAGCGTGACAGCAAGGGAAACTCAGCTGAAACAAAACGCAGAAAGCTGCCCTCTGTCAAGTCCAGCTGTTGAGGTCATCTGAGACAGCACAGTCTGCTCTACAGGGACAGCACTGTGGAGTGTCAGGAAGAGATTGTTTCCATCGCCTGACACCCGATCCTTTGAAACTCAGTTTAGGGGGTTCTCTTGGCATGTTCTTTCACTGAAAGTCAGTCCCTCCTGTTTCTCTGCTGGAACGAGTTCAGTCCTTGCCCCATGGTCTCTCATGCAACTGTTGAAGGCCCTGCAGCAGCCTGGCCACAGAAATACTGCCACCCTTGATATTTCTTCTATTGTTTGTTGATTGATTGATCGGTCTCTTTGTTAACTCTTCGGACTACTCTTTTCCCTCCCACTCTTTGCAGCCTCCAGCTGCACTGTACTGGACCCCTAACACCTAAAATGCATCTTATAACCCTGTTATTGCTATTCTTCCCTCACAGTCGTCTTATTTTCTGCTGTATGGTCAGATGGGGTGACTGCTTCAGGAAAAGGCTTCTGGATACCAGTAAGTGAGGCAGCACTGTGTGATCAAGATTATGCCTCTTAAACAAGGTAGGGTCAATGTTTCCATGGCCCTCCCTAAAGGAAACAATTTACCAGGGGCTTTTCACAAAAAGCCTGCTGGATTAGTGCTGCAAAGGAACTTTTTTTTGTTTTTTGTTTGCCTCTGCTGTCTTCGTCAGGATCAACCATCTGTAACACAGCCAAACCCAGGTCAGCTGAGCTGACTTCCAGAGTCTATTTTTAATACCAGGCCTTAACTCTGAAAGGCTAATTAAAAAATAGCACAGAGAAACACGTGCAGTGACTTCCACAATGTAATCACATCCAGCCCTGCAGATTTGTGATTATGGAGGTGATCTTTCCAGACTTGGGGCTTCTCACTTAGAGAAGAAAATTGCCCATTCAAAACCACACATCTTATATTCTGTGACAGAGTTGCTACAACTTACATTGTCAGGGATGGTGGGCAGTTTGCCAGGATCAGGGGCAATGAAATAAACCTGGAACAGAGAAGGAAAGAATTGATTTAATTTAATGTAATATTTTAGATTTGTTATGGCCGCCCACTCCAGAAGACTCTGGGCAGCCATATCTGGAAGCGGTGGTGGTAACGGTGGCATTAGTGAATGCAAGCAACAATCTAGCTACATATGCAAACAGAAGAAATCCAATTAAGACTGCGTGCTACATTACACCGGAATATTTGTGACTGATCGCACAATATTTTCATTTTTAATTAAATGGAGACATGGGATGTTGTCATTTAGTCAGGGAAATATCATAAGGAGTGGTGACATCTGAACTTTTCTTCTTTGTAGTGTGCATTATTTTCCCAGTTTAATTTCTCTTCCCAAATCTCCAAAGCTGGAAGGAGAAAGGAAAGAATAAGAAATTTCAGATAGGATGCAGGCATATCTTTCCCTCATTCCCAAATTGTACCTCATGATCTTGATTAGGGAAACAGTTCCTGCCCAAGCAATTAGCAGTTAATCAGATTACCTCTCCTCAAAGGTACACTTATTAAACAAACTCATAGGGAAATCAATTATGGATTTTTAGTGTAATATAAGGAACGGCAATTTGCAGCTCGTAAGGTACCCCTAGACCCAAATCTGCAAACTTCAGAGCATCCCGAAGACACCTTGCCAACATTTGCTGGTGAAGCTAATTCTCAGCAACATGATTTTTCAGTGAAAAATGTAAAGATAAGGATGGGATAATGCAAAAGGCACTCATTTGGATATTGCAACACGGTCTACATGGGGTTGCCCTGGAAGACCATCCAGGAGCTTCAGCTGGTCCAAAATGCAGCAGCGCAAATAGTTATGGGTGCATCTCATTATGCTCATGTAACAATGCTGCTCTGCAAGCTACACTGGCTTCCAACAGACTTCTGGGTGTGATTTGAGGTACTGGTTATCACCTTTAAATCCCTACGTGACATAGGAATGGGTTACCTGTGGGACCACCTTCTCCCAAGAACATCTGCCTGCCCCACATGCTCCCACAGGGAGGGCATGTCCCAGACTCCTTCTTTTACTGTAAGTCAGTCATCATATTGGACCTAGAAAGTGTAGGCATGATATGTGGTTTTTTTGGTTTATTGTTTGTTTTTTGTTGTTCTATACCACCACCACCCAGAGTCACATTGTTTGAGATGGGTGGCCTTATAAATCTAGTAAAATCTTACAAATCAAGTAGAACATTTCAGTGTGTCAAAAAATGAGCTGCATTATTTTAGCCCACTTCCTTGAGGCCATCAATGCATTACTGCATAGGCTGTTATCTTACACAGGCCAGAAAGGGTTGCCCACCCATAATATAGTATGCTTCTGGGGCCTTGGAGACAGTATTTGATCCTTCTGAATGGAAAGCAGGAACAGTTCTAGGCATACTCTATACATACAGTGGAATGAGATGAGAACAAGCTGGTAGAATCAGGATCGCTTCCCCACTGGATGGTCTCCAGATGTGTTGGAACGCAACTCCCATAATTCAAGAGGCTATATTGTTAGAAAGCAGGGAAGCTGGAGTCCACTGCATGTGGAAACTGAAATATGCTCATCATTTTAAAAAATGATCCTGTTATGCTAAAAAGCAAATAAAAAGCAAAATAAATGCAACCCGAGGAGTAGCAAAGCAATTTCTGGACATGAGTTAGAATCTTCCTCACTATTGTTCTACTTTTTTATTCACAAACATTTAATGTGGTAAGCTTTAAAAATGGGAATAAGATTTCTCCCACATGCAACTTCGATTGGTAAAGCCAGTTCTGTCTCCCTCGGCAGCATGCGTATACCTGGAGGTAGCAGTTACTCCTTCAAGCAACAGTGACACAATTTCCGTAAACAAAGGAAACATAGGTAAGACCACCGCAGACATCAGATTGTGACTCACCAATGCTGTCCCAGGGTTCAGATCCCTATTTTTGTTTTGCCTGTTCAGATCCGTCTCAGTAGAAATTTTCAATTTAGTTGCTTTTGGGTCCTTACAGAACAAAAGGTGATTGAAAAGGAAGAAAAGATGTGATGACGGTTCTGAACCAAGGCCCAGAACAAAACTGCAAGTAATAAATGGAGGCCACAGAAGGAGCTATTTAGGCCATCAAGTCTCTACTGTTACAACCCTTTTTCTAACATGCAATCGGAATCCACCTTTTTATAATTTGAATCTGTTGATTCATGTCCTATCTTCAGGGGTGCTACAAGAACCACTTGGTTTGGATGACCAAAGGTAGTATAGTGGCAAGTTATAGATGCTGGTGTTCCTGGTTTGTTTAGTCCAATTTTCTGTCTGCAGATGTGCACATCCTGACAGCTTTTCTTTTGAACACGCACCTTAGAAACATGAGGCAATTATTTTTTGTCCAGTGGAGATAGGAAGGCTTCCTTCCCTGGTCCCTGTGGTATTTCACTCATTTTCCAGACAATTTCTCAGCTCAATCGTATCAAGAAACCTATCTATCAGTTTCACAATCCCTTCTAGTTCAGTTTTCTCTGCTTTTATAAAGGCATTGCATCTTTGTCTAGCAAGAGAAATGGATAGTTTCACAACATGGAAAAACATTGCATGTGGTAGTGTGTAGAAGTTACTCTTCTCCAGAAGACCCACCACAAAGGCAGCCAAACCTCCCCTGCACTCATTGAGGTGAAAAGCACCTAAGTGTAACAGTGACGGGATAGAACACCTGAGTAGTTTTACTCCACTTGATTTCTGCTCCAGATAGGGAGGTTGTTTCTATTTTAAACTATTCAGCTTTTAAGTAATCAAATACAGTGGTACCTCGGGATACGAACTTAATCCGTTCCGTGACTCTGGTTGCAA